GCGTTCAACGGTTCAATGTCTGTTGTACTCTCATTCTATTTCTATGACTATCAGTGTAAAGTCACAAATATTGTCAATCAGCAGAGCTCTCCTGTGAGTCCCTACGCTAGGGTTTGTGTTGGCTGAGTTTGAGTCGCTGCTGTCTTTTCCTGGAGCTGCCACGTGCAGACCGTTCTCCTTCAGTAAGGTGGTCTCCTGGACAAGATAAAGTGACGTTTTCACCTTTTTGCTAGTTGAATTTTGTCCAATGAACAAATCAGAAGGTTCACAGACCATACAGCTCCCCGTTAGTGTCAGTGAACACACAGATCAACACAAACTACAGGGCGACACGTGACGATCAGAAGATAGCAGTAGAATTTGGAGCGGCTGTCACAGTTTCAGCAGTTTGGTTGACTCTTACGTATTCTTGCCCAGCTGTTAGTTAGTAGTTGGCGGTGAAATGCTGCCCTCCATTTCTTTAGAGCAGGTGGCCTGTTATTACACATCACATCTTTAAAGCTTTCTTTCAAAAATACATTTGTGTACACTGGACAACTACATGACCATAATGTACATTAAAGTAATTAAGGGAGAAAACTAATGTCTTTTATTCATTTTGAAATAATTAATTTCTCTGTTGATGTAGCATATACTCATGTGTTTACATGTATTTTCATACATAAAGATTTCCCATGGGTTGTTTAGTCATACCACGATATAGAATGTGAGATGAAAGTCGCATGCCATGCAGCTGCTGGAATGCTTCATCTTCCTTGCTTGAGTCATTCATGAGATAATCATGAAGACGCCTCCCTTGTCTCGCCCATAGAGAATAAGTCTCGAAGCTGAACATCCAGTCCCAGGTCGCCTCATCAGCTGGTGTCAATGTGAGGTGAGGAAACATCAAAGGAAAAGGACACCAGACATACTTCTCAGCTCCTACACATCCTTCATCCATCACAGAGCTCACAGCACACACCTTTCCCAGTACTGGCAGCTCTAAGGCATCAACTATTGGCTAAAAGTGAAGCAGTAAGGAAAGACTTATGTAAAGCTGTTGACTAACGGGGAGTTGGTGGCATCATCAAAACTAATATGCAGCTTCAGAATATTATCACAGTTTCATTCTTTGTATTCAGATATTCATACATGTGCAGAAATCATACCGCTCAAAGCAAACACAACATTTATAAATAGTTTGTTTTTTGTCATATAAGCTTTCTAAACTAATGGTGACTGAATAGTACATATTCTAATGAGGCTCTGCTGTATTTCAGGGGAGAATGGAAGAATGCATTTTTGACCTGTGGCCGTGTTTGTTTTCCTAAAGAAAGTGAAAGCATGAGTCTTCACAGTTATATCCAAATAGTATACTGTATAATCAACACAAAAAGTTAAAATCCATAATAAATGAGAGAATAAAAACTGGAGACTTCTGGCAATAAAACACAAGTTACCAGACAACGTAATATTGCCCTCCATTGCAAGTCTGGAAAAACTAAAATATACTAAAAAGACTGCAAAACTTTGCACCATACTGCTGGAACATCTAGATTGGTGACATATTTCACAGTCATCTTTTGTTTCATCCTAGATAGTTAATGACCATGAAATAAGGTTAGGAAGTACATCATAGTATACATCTGCATGTTAAACCTCTGAAGCCTATTTCACGTTTGTCTTTTATCAGGACCAATTATTTTGTTTTTAATGCCTATCCTCTTTATGATGCACCACACTGGGCATGTTTGGAAGCCCTTGGCCCAAGCGATATTTGGTGATTTGTCATGTCTGAGTGAATGAAACATTTTTTTTTACAAAATGATATATTGTAGAGAAATTACAATCATGCAAATATCCATTTGATTTGAGCAAACACAAAGGTCCTCTGTGCTCAATAAATGTAATTGCATGTTTGCCATTATCTAAAAATCACAATAATGATTTCTCTCACTTAGTTTTCACTAATTTCCCTTCTTTCTATTTCCCTGCTCTCAAACACTATTTTGATTTGTATTGCGTCACGCAGCAACAAGTGTCTGTATCGCTCATAGTGTGAACACATTATAATGCCTGATTCATACTCCTGTTGCTGTGCGCCTATGCAGGCACCTCTTGTGCACGTCAGACATACATGGTACTGTGGTGGATAACGAGTATCATGTCATTTCTTTTCGATTTGGACCTTTGATTGGGCACCTTGCATGGTAGCCCCTGATATCAGTGTATGCATGTGTGTGAATGGGTGAATGATACCATGTAGTGTTAAAGTACTTTGAGTGGTCGGAAGACTAGAAAAGCTCTATACAAGTACAAGTACATTTACCATTTTACCATGAAAGCTCCGCAAACCATATCTGCAGCTCTGCCAATGCTCTGTGCAAGCTTTTCCACAGAAGTATAAATTAGGCATTGGTCTGACTTCCTGTGTGTGGGGGACTTCCTGTGTGCCCCCCGAAACTTGGTTCTGAACTTGGTTCTGAACTGCTCACCGAACTTGGTTCTGAACTGCGGAGTTTATGATCATAAGGTGCCGTCCTTTCTATCTGCCGAGGGAATTTAAAGCGATTCTGCTAGTCGTTGTTTACATCCCTCCCACCCCCAACAACAGTGACAGAAGTGCGGCCCTCTGTGAACTGTATCAGGCCATCAGTGAACAACAGACAGCTCACCCAGACGGCTTCACCATCCTCGCTGGAGATTTCAACCATGCTAACCTTAAGACTGTCCTTCCCAAACCAGCATGTTGATTTCCCAACAAGAGGGGAAAACATTTTGGATCTGGTCTACACTACTCACAAAGGAGCGTACAAGGCCTCACCCCTACCCCACATAGGACTCTCTGACCACATCACCGTCCTGCTAACGCCAGCATACAAACCAAGAGTGAAAGTCTCCAGACCTGTTCTGAAGCAGGTACGGGTGTGGCCAGATGGGGCCTCCTCCGCTCTCCAAGACTGCTTTGACACAACAGACTGGGGAATGTTTAAGCAGGCAGCCACATACAACAATCACACAGACATTGAGGAGTACACAGACACTGTTACTTCTTACATTAGTAAGTGCATTGATGATGTGACTCATATAAAAAACATCATCACTCGGGCTAACCAGAAGCCATGGCTGACAGGGGAAGTGCATCGGCTGCTGAGGGCCAGAAACAACGCCTTCAGAGCCGGGGATGAAACTGGCCTGAGAAGAGTGAGAGCCGATCTGTCCCACGGCATCAGGGAAGCAAAACAGGAATACACGAATAAGGTAACCAGTCACTTTAAAGACTGCAGAGATACACTGAGCCTGTGGCAGGGCATTCAGACCCTTACGGACTACAAACCCGTGCCACAGATCTGCGACAGCAACATCTCTCTGCTAAACAACCTCAACAGCTTCTTTGCACGGTTTGAAACGCAAAACAGCACATGTCCACACAAGACTCCGCCCCCTCCCCACGATCAGGCTCTGTGCCTGTCTGCTGCCAGCGTGAAGAGGACACTCTCCACTATCAACACCCGCAAGGCAACAGGTCCAGACAACATCCCTGGTCGTGTGTTGAAGGACTGTGCAGAGGAGCTTAAGGATGTCTTCACGGATGTCTAATACTTCTGAGACAAGCTGTTGTTCCATCATGCTTCAAGGCCACCATCATCATACCTGTGCCAAAGAAATCCACTCCGTCCTGCTTTAATGACTACCGTCCGGTGGCACTGACCCCCATAATCATGAAGTGCTTTGAACGGCTAGTCATGTCACATATCAAATCCATTCTTCCCCCCACCCTGGACCCTTTCCAGTTTGCATACCGTGCCAAACGGTCCACGGAGGATGCAATCTGCTCTGCTCTCCACCCAGCCCTCACCCATCTGGACTCAAAAGACTCATATGTGAGAATGCTGTTCATAGACTTTAGTTCAGCATTCAACACCATAATCCCACAAAAACTCATCTTCAAACTTGACCAGCTGGGGCTCAACACCTCGCTGTGTAACTGGCTGCTGGACTTCCTCAGTGAGAGGCCACAAGCAGTACGTGTCGGCAACAACACCTCGAGCAGCATCACACTGAGCACAGGGGCCCCTCAAGGCTGTGTGCTCAGTCCACTGCTCTTCACCTTGCTGACACACGACTGCACCACAACCTACAGCACCAATCACATGGTCAAGTTTGCAGACGACACAACTCTGGTAGGTCTCATCACCAACGACGATGAGACCCACTATAGGAAGGAGGTCAGCCTTCTGACCACGTGGTGCAGAGACAACCTCCTTCTAAATAACAGCAAGACCAAGGAGATTATTGTTGCCTTCCGGAGAGGCCACACTCAACACCCACCACTGACCATCATTGGTGCTGATATAGAGAGAGTGAGCAGCACCAAATTCCTGGGGGTGGACATCAGTGAGGACCTCTCGTGGACAGCCAACACAACATCACTGGCAAAGAAAGCTCAGAGGCGCCTCTACTTTCTCCGCAAACTGAAGAAGGCAAGAACACCACCACCCATCATGTGCACCTTTTACCGAGGCACCA